TTGTTATTTTATGTTTTGTTTGTTTCTAAAAATCTTTTTAATCTATTTTAATCATTTTATTATTATATGTTTGTTTATTATTTATTTTATTATTTATTTCTTATTTATTTCATTATTTATTTCTTATTTCTCTCTCTTATATTTGTAATTGTCATTGTATTGTAAATTGTTTGAATTAAATACTTTTCATTTGATTATTACCTTTTTATTTTTATTTGTTAATTTATAAAATCTAATAACTGTAACTTCATATATCATTGTATATTATTTATATGTTTTATTATTCTTTCTTTTTTTCTTTCTTTATTTTGTTTTATTCTTCTTTTTATTCTTCTTCTATTTTCTATTATGGTACTTTCCATTACTTCTTTTTTTCATTTATTCATTTACCATCTTCTTTATTTTATTTTTCATTTCTTTCTTTTTCAAATATTATGATGAATTGGTATTTTATTCTATAATTCGTGTATTTCATTTTATTGTTTTATATTCTTTTGTTATTTCATTTTTATTTCTTCTTTTAGTATTTGTTATATTGTAGTTAATCTGTTAAGATTAATTTTTCTTACTCTTATTAATTATTTCACAATTATTTGTAATTTAAATATAGTCGTTGTGAATTTTGTTATTTTTCTGTAACTTCATTTTTTTTCAAATAGTATTTTTTCTACTTCTTTAATATCAACTTCTTTCTTCTTTTATTTATATTCTATCATATTCTCCTTTTTACTTATTATTTTAATTATTTTTATCTGTATAATTCATTCTTATATTTTCTATTTATTCCCATTTTATTTATTTGACTCTGTTTTATTATTTATTCTATTTTTGATTATATATCATCTATTCTGAATTTCTTATTCCCATTTTTATTTTATTGCTTATTTTTATATTACTTTTTTCTAAATATAATATATTATTTTAATATCTTCTTGATGAATCATTCTTCAATTTAATTCTTGTAACTTAATCTTATTTTTACCTAATTTCTTTATATTCTTTATTTCTTTTTGTATAAATTAATCTATCTCCAATAATAAATTAACTTTCTTTAGAACATTATTCTATATTTTAACATACTTTAAATAACAACAAACAATTGTAAAATGTATCATTTCCACTTTGTTCAATGAAAATAATATTCTCTGCAAAAAATAACACATTAATTAATATATGAGTTGAAAATTTTCAAAATAATATTATATACGAAAAAATGGTAATAATGTGTTTATTTAAAAGAGTGTATTTTTTCATTACAGTAAATTATGTATTTCTATCAAGTGGACTTTCTTTATTTTCTTTTTAATGTGTTAAAATATTGAATTTTTTTTATCATTTTAAAAAATGGAAAATGAAAAAATAAAAACTTATAATAACAAAACTTAAATGTTTAAATTTTTATGTCTATAACTTTCTTTGTCACTGGTGATAATCATCTTGGATATTATGAAAAGAATTTAACACTAAAAGATGATTGTTATAAATTATTTGAACAATACTTAAAAGAGGCAACACAAAAAGAAGGAAGTATCTTACTTCAATGTGGTGATTTATTCAATGACTTAAGACCAAACAAGGCATGTGTTTCAAAGACAGCAAATCTAATAAAAAAGTATTGTATTGGCGATGCAGATATTTTGTATACAATAAAAGATGAAGCTGAATTATCATATCCATTAAATATAACAGATCCATATATTAATGTAAAACATCCACTATTCACAATTCATGGAACAAATGATGAGCCAAGTGGATATAAATTAATTGCAGGAAGTGAAATATTAGCGTCATGTGGATTAGTGAATTATATTAGTCCAAAATCATTTGAAGAAGAAAAAGTGTTAAAACCCGTTATTATAGTAAATGAGAATACCAAAATTGCATTGTATGGATTATCTGTTTTATATTCCAGTGATCTTGATGAGATTGTGGAAGATGAAACTTTTCATATAAAAAAACCAAATGGAAATGATTGGATTTGTATTCTTCTTCTTTACATTGGTAAAGGAACTTTAAGCCAAACAACAAAAGACATTATAGAAAGACATTTTAACATTATTATTTTAGGTGGTCAACATTCATGTAATATTCCAACAGGAGAGTTTAATGATCCAGTTATTATTCAACCAGGAAGTCCATTTTTCTTATCCTTTGATGAATATGATGAGATTGAAAAAGGATTTGTTAAGATAGTTGTTGAGGGTCAAAAGATTTATATTGAAAAGAAAGAATACAAACCGATTCACCGAATGATTAAGAAAGAAGTTTATATTCCAGAAACATTAAGAGACTGTGTTATTTCTAAAAGAATTGAAGATTTTATTCAACAAGAAATGAAAAAATGTATTACAGAAGCTGTTATTAAAGAGAATGAACAAATACTTTTAAAACTAATAGTAAAGGATTGTAATCAAGACTGTTATCCTGACACAAAAAAAATTAGTTCATTATTAGAAGAAGATGTTGTTAATTTTATTGATTGTATTAAGGTTAAAAAATGGTATCGTCAAGAAGTTGAAATGAAAGAACTTACAATAGAAGACCTCGTTAATGAAGAACTTGACAAATATGAAGAACCAGAAAAAATTATTCGAAGAAAAGAAGTTTCTAATTGTTTAGAGCGTCTTAAAATGTCTTCTACATCAAGCAATATTGAATATACTACTGATCTTTGTATGAATGAAGTAAGTAAAAAAGCAATGGAAATTAGAAATGAAGAAAAAGAAAAAGGAATGGAAAGTGATTATAATAATATAGTAAATGAAGCGTCAATTCAAATAAAAGAAAAACATGATGAAAGTACTATTCTTACAAACCAAACTTACACTAAAGAAGAATTTTCAGACATTCCAAAGAAACGAACAATTTCTACTGCACCTTCTCGTAAATCATTTTTTGATGAAAGTATTATTAAACAAGAATTTAAACCTACAAAATCAATTTCACCAGAAAACATTAAAACACTTCAAAATTCTACTTATGCTCAACCTCATAAACCTTCACACTCTCAGAAAAGAAATTATATTTCAAAAATATTAACAAAAGATCATTAATTTATAATGTTTATGTTTTATTTTGTTTTTAATTACAAAATAATAAATAAAAATGTTATTTAAACCCTTTTTTAGTTTAATTTAAAAATAATAATAAATGAAACTAAATGAAGAAAAAGAACTAAGAACTAAATAAAAAAATATAAAAAAGAAGAATTAAAAAAAGAAAATAATCACTTTCTATTTTTTTGTTCATGGAGCCACAACAAAAAATTGAAAAATTGGCACAATTTATCATACCTGAAGATGAAAGACTTTTATCACCACCAAAACAAACAAAAACAGAATTGCCAACACTTGCATCAATAAATATTTCTTTTCCAATAAGACAAAATAACAAAGAAAAAGGAGATGCTTTGCCTTCCATTCTTTATGAAGAACAAAATGATGTGAGAAAAAGGGTGAAACCAGATTTTGTTTCTGAAAACAACAATCACGAAGAAAATAATCTTCTCACTAAAATTTCTTTAGACGGTGATAAAAATAAAAGTGCTTCCTCAGCACCTCAATCAATTGATTCTTTAGGATTAATTTCTAAAACATTAAAAGCTAAGAATAAAACATTAACTAGTTCAGTCCCTGCATCAGTTTTAGAAAATGAACGAAAAGAGGAAGAAAAAAAAGAACGAAGAAAACAAAGGGAACGAGCAAAAAAAGAAAAAACTATTATCGTCAAAGATGATGACTCTAAAAACCAACCAGCAGAAGAACGTCCTGTTCAATTGATTAATGGAATAATAGCTGAAGAATCAAGTGAAGAAGAAAACCTCCAAACTCAAAAAAAAATGAGTTTAGGGGCGTGCACTGTTGATGAGTTAAAATTAATTGCACGAAGGAAAAAGATTGCTGAGTCAGATGGAATTGAATATCATGTAAAATTTAATGAGACAATTAATAAAACTATTCCTTTAGTTCGTTCTACTGAAGAAATTAAATATGTTGGGGCATTGAGAGATAATGGAGCTAAAAAGAATATTGCTGAGAATTGGTATCAAAGTCTTTCTGAACAAAAGAAAACGTTAACAGCAGAAATAGAGTATAAGAAACCCAAATGCCTTCCAAAGCAATATATTAAAGTTAAAACAATAAGTAAATATTCTTATTTGAAAAAATCATTTGAACAAATGATCATTTCTAAAACAGAAAAAGATCCAACATTAAAAGATAAAAATGAAATTCTTCCATCAGAAAAATTAGGTGATGGATATGAACTGTCTGACTCAATTTTATTAGACGGTCCAATGATAATTGAAATGGTTAGATTATTACAAATTACTCCTGTTGAAGAATTTATTCCTGATGATCCAAGAGCAAGTAGAGATCATAGAAATGAATTTAGAGAACAACGTAATCCTCAACCTTTTTATTCTTCATCACTATCACCTTCTCCTCAAAGACCATTATTAGTCGAAGTTTATTCTGCTTATGATCCAAAGAATTTATTTAGTGCATCTTCATTTATTCCTCAACAACAGTATATTGTTGGACCAAATGACTATATGAATTTTAATAAAAATCCATATTCTTCTCTCACTTCCTATAATTGAATTGATTGTTTACTTTTATTAATTAAATTCTTTCTTGGTTTTCTTTCTTTTAAATTTTTTTATTTAAATTAATTTTGAAACAAGTTTAATTGAATTACAATTCTTTTTTTGTATTTTCTAATTTAACTTCTTCATTAACTTGTTTTAATTTGTTTAATTGGTGTTGGTTAAGACACCACCCAATGATAGCATATAACATTCCAGTAAGTAACAAAAATACAATCCAATTCGTTCGTGTTGATTGTGAAAATAAAATTCCAACCGTTTCAATACTAAAAATAATTAAGAAAAAGTAATGAACAAAATCAATCGAATGAATCATTTTTTTTTAAATTATAAGTTAAGTTTTAAAACAAATTATTTATGTAAATTTTATTTAATTTAATTTAATTAAAAAAGGTTAATTTTTTTTTATTAAATTTATATTGATATTTGAGTAGTTTAAACTTGGTGACTTCCTTGTTTCTTTTTGAAAAGTTTCTTGTTATTGATAAAATAATAAAAATTACTCAGTTAAAATTTCAGTAATTCTTGTTTTTCTACTTTATTTATTTGGTACTATGATACTCTGTTAAGAGGTTAAAAGAAGAAGAAAGAAAAGTATTACACTCCCTAGAGTCGGAAATAATAGAAATTAATTCTATTAATACTTAATTAATTACTTTTTCTATATTATTTAATGTTGAAATTAATGAAAATAAAGTATTATACATTACAAGGAGTATCACATAATATAAAAATAATTAACAAAAGAATGAGAGATTCATATTAACAAGAATATAAATAATAGAATAATGGATGAAAATAAATACTAATTATATTATCATATTAATTATCACAACTATCACGGCATTTATGGTATAAATTATTTCATTCTTTTTCATCATCATAAATATTTTATCATTAATT